ATTTTCCACAGTACCTGTAATAGTATTACCAGCATATGCAGGCAAATATTACTTTTTATCAAAGTACTATTAGTTGAGCCACTGGCACAGCTGACCAATTTGAGGGAAATGCTTCCTCTAATAATTTGCTTATTTTATATTATTAATTATTTTATTTATTAGCAATTCACCAGACCTGTACACATTTGGTTGGACATAAAATTAATATTACCAGTTATGCAGACAATTTACTTTGACTTGCAAAAAGAAAAAAACTTTTAGCATAAAATTCTAATAATTTCATGTACATCTTTTTACATTTCCTAGATTAAAGGGGCAACACGGCTTACCTGACAAAATCTGCTAAGAGTTAAATAAATGCAAGAAAATCATGTAAAAATGTATAATATTTTATTGGAAAATTAAACATTTTATCAAACTTAACTGCCTTAATCAGTGAAAAAGCTGAGAAGATATGGATCAAACTACTACTAAGCGAAGAACAAATTTATTCTCATATGCGTTATGTATTAGGTATGTTACGGTCTCTGACAGACAGCATGTTGAAGCCGTCCAGAGCGCCATTTTCTCCTTTTTCTCGGAAAGTGATGATATAGCCAAAACATGCGATAGTGTGGGTTTTATCAGGAAATGTGTGTACACTCTCTGGACCTCTGTAGGTTTCTTGTAAATACTACCAGGTAATCTTTATCGTGCATATTCTCTTGACAGACAAAATGTTTAATTCAGCTGTCACAAATTCAAAACTTCTTTTTAAAAAAAATGTACGTTTGTTTAACAGGAAAGGAGTGGTTTTGATGCACAAAGTTGTTTTTATTGTCTCATAAAAAATATTTTATTTGAACCCATGAAAATCCTGTTGTAAATAATAGTAAATAAAGTCACTTTTTAAAGGGGTCATCGGATGCCCATTTTCCACAAGTTGATATGATTCTTTAGGGTCTTAATGAAAAGTCTATAACATACTTTGGTTAAAATGTATCAATGGTAGTGTAAAAAACACCCTTTTTACCCTGTCAAAATCGGCTCTGTTTTCAGCTTTCAGCATGCTGTTTTAGACCATGTTGCTTTAAATGCTAATGAGCTCTGCTGACCCCGCCCCTCACTTCCGTGGGGTGACGAGCAGACTGTAAACTTCAGCCGCCAAACTTGCTAACTAGCACATATTAGGAAAGGCGATTTGCAAAGATACATAAAAAACCCTTATACTCACTTCTTCTGTAGATGAAGCTGGATCGCGAATGATTCACACAAACATAAATGCATTTAGGCAGATCGGGGATCAGCGCATTCCCTTCAAAAACGAAAGTAACGTTAATCCTCTGCATCTTCAGCGGCTCAGATGTCGGGAGTAAATGACGACTGCTATGGTCATTATTACATTCAACAACAAAACGCCTCAATTACTTAATCGGAGACGTTCTTGTCTTCCCCTGCACCGGAGTCAACACAATGGTGGACAGCTCACAGCTCACTCAGGGCGGGTCTAAGGTAAGACGGCCTTGTCAATCAACTATCGTGGGAGCGACCTGTGCAGAACTACATCATTCTGATGTGAATCTCAGAACAGCCCGATTTGAGAAAGGGGATTTTAAAAAACCACTGGGTGGATTTTTATCATTATAGGGTGAATGTGTACACACACTTCCAACACACATTTATGTCCAAACAACACGTAAAGTGAATTTTGCATTCGATGACCCCTTTAAAACTGTCATTCCATTATTTCTCCTTAGCAGATTTTAATTCATACAAGATTTTAGTCATACAGTAAAAACCTATTTATAGAAAAATCATTAAAAATGAAACAAAAAGTCTGAGATAAATCAAGAACAAAACCATGGTAAAAACCGTAAAGGATCACTACAGTGAATCAATACACTGACATTAAGCAGCACTGAGAGATCTAGCAGCTTCGACTCACTCACCCAAGTTATAGAGAAGACTCAATGCCTGAAACTCCTCTTGATGCTGGTGCTTCCCATCTCTGTAGCTCTCCAGCAACCAGCTCAAGCATTCCTGCAGGTGAGTGTCATTGATGCGCGGGTCAAAATACTGAAGTTGCTGCCCGCAGAGTCTGTAGGAGGCGTAGAGAAGGAAACGCACACTTTTCTCCAGCACGGCCACACAGTCCGACCCCGACACACGCTGGATAATCATGTCCTGCCGAACACTACGCACACGGTCAAACACAAAACTATACACCTGTGGGTCATAAACAACACAAGCTTGAAATGGCCATCATATTACAGATAAAGGAATGACAAGATGCCATTTCCGTACCTCCGTCCACGGCTGAGAAGTAGAAGAAGCTGCAATCTCATCGACTAGGTGACACACAGTCTTTAAAAGCACAGATGGAGGTCGAAGGTCGCTGGCTCTCGTGGAGTCTTTCCCCGCTGCAGGTCTCGAATACTCTTTGACGGCGCGTGAGACATCAGCACGTGGCAAACGATCCCGCTCTGTGTCGGCCACCATCTCAAACCTGTGCAGTCGATTCTGTGCTTCCCGCTGGCGTAATTCATAAGCAGGACACATATTCATACAGGTGCCATGAGGCACTGAGTCCTCAGCTTTCTGCTCCACCACCTGTTCCCTGTTCGCTCGACCTTGCTCCTTATGCCGGTGTCCTCGGCCCCTCCTAGACTGATGCAACCTGAACATCAAACAAGACAGAAAACATACAAATGCATTTATAATGTATGACAAACTGACAGCAGCTGCTAATGATTGCTGCAGGTGATTCAGAATGACCTGACACTCAATAATTATTAGACCATATTGCTGAATAGACATATAGAATAGAAAATGATTCTATTTATTAAAATAGAAAACTTTGATATATGTGACCCTGGACCACAAAACCAGTCATAAGTAGCACGAGTATATTTGTAGCCAACAATATATTGTATGGGTCAAAATTATCAAATTTTCTTTTATGCTAAAAATCATTAGCATATTAAGTAAAGATCATGTTCCATGAAGATATTTTGTAAACTTCCTACCATAAATATATCAAAACTTTAATTTTGATTAGTAATATGCATTGCTCAGGACTTCATTTGGACAACTTTAAAGGCGATTTTCTCAATGTTTAGATGTTTTTGCTCCCTCAGATTCCAGACTTAACAATAGTTGTATCTCAGTCAAATATTGTCCTATCCCAACAAACCACACATCAATGGAAAGCTTATTTATTCAGCTTACTTATTTATTCTTTCAGACAAAGAAACAAAGGGTCAAAATTGACCCTTACAATTGTTTTTTTGGTCCAGGGTCACATATATATTAGCCTAGTTTCCAGTATTGCAGTTCTAAGGTCCGGAAGATGCTCACTGCTACCTTTTTGAATATTTTTTTTCTCTTTATTGACATAATTATATCTCGTTTATGACTGAAAACGGATTCTTTCTAAACTACACGTTATGCAATTATAACAATCTGACATGTGCACGCTGTAACCTGCCAGTTGTATGTTCTGCTTTATACTGTCTGTAATGACATTAGCTCTGTCACAACGAACGGAGACTCTTTCTGTCTCTGCGGATACTCTTTGTCTCAAACAGTTAACAGGTAAGCTTTCTGACTGGTGTTTGAATATAATGTGTTCACGGCATATCATCATGCGTTAATCAAAATAAAAACGAGGTTTAGGGAGACTCACCCGACGCTCATGGCTGTTTCGTTCCTCGGTCGGGTCGAGCTCGAGCGCAGCTCTTCAGACGACACTTGCAGTAAAGACAGCTCCGATTGGTCGCCGGGTTTCACGAGCTGCAAGAGAGGGGCGTGACTTGAACAAGGAGGCGTGACTTGAAGTTGTCCAAAACACACAGAACCACGCGAGATGTCACAACGAGACAATAGTATATCTCAAACGAGATGTTGTCGGGCTGCGTTCGAAACCGCATACTTTCTAAGTTATAAGCACTTAACTGTGATTGTAGCATAGCCAATACATTTTGGGTTGATTTAAGTTCTTATATTTTTTAACTCCGCTAATGTGATCCAGTTTTATCCTTAAAGCATTTTTTTTTTAAATGTATTACGAAAACCCAAAATCGTTATCTCTTGAATATCTTAATTATTTTGTGCAAAATGTTTTATACACACGCAAAAGTGGCTTAAATCTCCTTTGATTTATTCTTTTTCTTGTTGAATTTAACTCGTTTCATCCCTCAGGCCTCTAAAAAAGCATCATGATGAATTATTCAGAGATATTTAACCTTGTCACTGTGCTTTTTTCCTGTGTATATTATCTCATACTATGATGAACACGTTCATTTTTTTAAACTGTTTTATCAGAAGAGCTTTATTAGCAAGTATGTTTACACACAAGGAATTTGACTTGACGACAGGAGCTTCCAGTGCAGAAGAAAGCACATAGTGCAGACATACATGACTTGACGACAGGAGCTTCCAGTGCAGAAGAAAGCACATAGTGCAGACATACATGGGAATAACACAGTAGGGATGCAATATAACACTAATATAATAGAACCATGGTCTCGTTTATTTCCCGGAGGGAGTGATATTAGTGTTATATTACATCCCTACTGTGTTATTCCTATGTATGTCTGCACTATGTTTGTACTTTCTTCTGCACTGGAAGCTCCTGTCGTCACGTCAAATTCTTTGTGTGTGTAAACATACTTGGTAATAAAGCTCTTCTGATTCTGATTCTGATCCCTCAGGCTTCTAAAAATATACATCACGATGAATTATTCAGAGATATTTAACCTTGTCACTGTGCTTTTTTTCTGTGTATGTTATCTTATACTATGATGAACACATGCATTTTTGTTTTATCAGAATCAGAATAGCTTAAATTCCTTGTGTGTGTAAACATACTTGGTATTAGACTTGACAGGAGCTTCCAGTGCAGAAGAAAGTACATAGTGCAGACATACATAGGAATAACACAGCAGGGATGTATTATAACACTAATATAATATATGCCATTATGATTGTTCATTGTTAGATACAACCATCTTTCCCTGATCTTTTATGTAATTATAAGTTCGGCAATAATAATAATAAAAAAGAGGGACAGGTGCACTAACACCTCATGGCATCACTAACTCAACAATCTAGTATGGTTTTCCTCAGCGTTTGCAGTATCTGCACAAAAGATATGTCGGGCAGCTGCTCGAAGATCTCGCCTTTGGAGAAGACTGTCGATTTTATACTTTAAAAATGTAAGTATTACTACTTAAACGTTAAGATTACCCCAGAATGAATTGCATCGTTTGCCCACCCCAACACTTACATGCAATAATAATGATAAATGCTAACCAATAATTACTTCTTTTTTTTACTTAAAATGAAAAAATATATACTTTTTTGTCGTGACATAGCTATACATAAATATACACTAGTTGAACAAATGCAGTCGATGTGAATACATCCATTTTCAGTCAAGCAATTAATACATTAATTAATAAAATATTTACTGACAACAATAAACATGAATAAATGAGTAAAGGAATGAATAAAAGTAAGCATCACAATAAATACATATACAACAGCAGATGAAACAAAGCCTCATTCAAACGTATTGTTCTAACAATCATGTATTTACAGATGGTGAACCCCACATCCTACTGCCATCTCAACACAGCGGAGACAGTTCTGCTGCTGCGCTGTGCTTCACAATCTCGCTCTTCTCAGTGGAGACATCGTTGAGCAAGAGGATGAGGAAGACCATGATGACGGCTCTCTGAACCACACAAGCTAGAAGCAAGAGCAGGGGAACACATGCGGGACAATCTGGCTGCCACTGTGTCTGCTCCAAACATCTGTGTGCTGCTCTCCATGAGCACGACTATCTGTTAAACATTTAAACGGAGTTACACATTTTACAGTTCATGTTGTCAGCTTTCCATTTCTTACCAAATTTCATGTTTACAATTACATGCATTTTTTATGTTGTAGCTTTATTACTTTTGTAGTGGGCTAAACCACTGAAGTGGTGAGCAGAAGGTTGCTGGTGCAAAACCACCAGTATGTCCTTGAGCAATCAATGTCATTCCAGGGGATTGTAGGTCCCTGTAATAAGAGTGCTGTAAATCACTTTGGATAAAAGCTTCATGACATTTTTTGATGATGCTTTTGAAGCTTCTGAAAGTCAGCCTTCATTGTATGAACAGAAACCAGCAGAAGAAACTTGAACAAACTCACATCCTCAGTGTCTTTTGGTGTTTCTCTAGATGCTCCAGCTGGCTCTGGGGTCCCTGAGGATGAAGAGACCACAGCAACATCTGGCACAGATGAGACAGTAAGAGGTGGAGTGATGGAGCGTCTCATCCATGACACTGGACCATTTCCAGGATTCTGCTGTGAACTCCTCCATCCTCACTGCTCACACATATAGCATTCCTTCATCAGTCACTCTGCACTGGATAAACACACGCGTGTCTCATCTGTCCCTGAAGCATCCAGACAAGAGTCAGTCACCTCTGTGATTTATCTGCTCAATGCTGCATTTACATGTTGAAGTAGTTGCTGATGTAACTAGCTTTTTATTCAACACAAATGTTCCTTAAATGATCAATATTACAAATGGACAAATAAAATAGATAACTTATGTTAAGATAAGATTTGTTTGTTTACATGACTTACATTCATCTAGAGCAGTGTTGACAACAGTGAATTCTACATAACAGCACACATACATCACTCAGATGCCTGTTTCAAGTCTATTAGATGTGCTCATCTGCAATACTAATCAAAGATTTTCCTGTCAGATGTTAAATAGACATTTAGTAATTGTCTTTTAAGATGTATATATGGTTCATGTAAATCCACTTTTGAGACGTATGTGTACTTAATGGAGCTCCCCTGTTAGTTGTGCATTATAAAAACGTGTTTTTACAGCAAAATCACAAATATGCTATATTATGTAGGTCACAGACAGGGTTTAGATTAAGCCGGGATTAGGCCATAGTTCAATTCGGATATTTAAGTAGCTTTTATAAACGTGACTTGGATAAAAACACTACTGATGTACATCTTGAGACAAAAAAATATATTTTAAGGTCAGTCAGTTCAAGTTGCTTTCAGTTAGAACAGCCCAGACATGCATTTTATTAAGTCTTGACCAGCCTTGTCTGTGAAACCGGGGGATAGCGTCTTTACACCTTTTGCTTATATATTGCTTACTTTACACCTTAGTTTTAATAGATTATTAACTCCATAATCAATACCACTGTATGAAAATAACTTACACACTTCAATTTGAACTAAAAAAGTTCTCGATTCCTAAAATGTGTGTTTGCATTATTGTACTGTTTTCTTGAAATAGATGTTATGTTCAGTTTTCAGGAAAAGTGGATTGCGTATAGGAGCATGAAAACCAACAGCCGTAATTTACTTCCTAATTCCCTTCACAAGTCCGTTCCGTTAGCAGTAATTAAATGTTAGGTGTAAAGGACTTTAAAGTTATTAATAAAATAGAAGTATGGTATCACATATTTCTCTATCTACATACACGGATACATACTTGTTTGGGTTGTTGATCTCAATTTAAAAACAAAGAAATTGACCAAAACCAGCCAACTAAACGGTGTTCTCTTGTTATAACACACACGAATCAATACGGTTGTTGTTTTATTAAATACACTCCACCACCAGTCTGACTGAACACATGACAAACTCTTTTAATCATTCTGCAGCAATGTATGAAATAAATACCAACAATTCATTGATTATTAGCATGCTTTATTTAATTGTGAACAGATGTGATAATGTGTCATATGGAGGGACAGAAGAGTGTCTGGGCTGTGCTCGGTCCGATCTCTTCTTCCTCCAATGACTGCTTGATTAAAACGGTCTCTCGGCTTACAAGCGAGGACACCTCCAGAAGATCGGAAAAAGTCCTAAAGTGAAAATAAATCCAAACCAAGACAGAATAAGATCAAGTTTAAATAAAGAAAGGCACGGAGAAAAATATATATTCTTATATGGAGACTGAAGCACTCCTACCTTGTCACCTGCTGGCTGATTTCATTAGCTGTATCTTCCATCTCTCTAAGACACTGTTTTGAAGCCTCACAATCAGTGGGAATGTCCTTTGTATAATGTTGCAAGACACGCTCACTCCGATTCAGAGATTCAACAGCTTTATCTGTGCAAGAGAAATATTATTCAATAAACTGGGTTGGAATCACTATAAAATAAAAAAATCAATTGAATTGACAAAACATTTTCAGACAAAGTACATTAAATTCTAAAATGGTATCGACTACAACACAGTTTTTTTTCCTCCAGGTTAAGCAAATCTCACCTAAAAACTGGTCTGCGTCCTCTCCGATGTGCACGTTCTTCACAGGAAGCTTGTGTCTCGTGGCATCAATGGCAGTGGCAAATGACTTGTACTCCTCTGCAAATGTGTTTGCTGCAGCAGCAACAGGACCTAGAGCCTCGATCTGCATAAAAGAAGAGGGACTCAAATGTGAGATGTGTCATCGTGGAGATTTAAGCAACAGTGTTAAATGTGTGAAGATGACCTGTAAGTCCAGCAAACTGTTGAGCTGTTTCTGCTTTTCCAGCAGCAGATACTGTCGTTTCTTCTGATTAACCTGAGCGGATAACTGCTGCTCTTTCTCCATCACTGCCAGAATATTCCTCTCAGCCTCCTCTCGAAATTTTCGGGTATTATGCTCAATCTAGACAGAGAAACATAAAAACCTTACCAAACGAGGGCTTTAAATACACATTTCAAACACAAAATATAACATTAAGACAAAAAAAGCCATACAACTGAAATAGATAGATACACATGTAATATATTTATCCATAAAAATATTTTGGATTAACGTTCATAATTTGCATATGGCACATGAATTAGTAGCCATTTCTTTTTGTTTGGTGTTGCTAGCTCAGCTTGTTTCAATACAGGGGAAATATGGAAAGTATTTTTCCACTTGAATTTTAGTTCTTGTGTATATAAAAAAAATAATTACTAAAACAATACATCTATATAGCTTTTATTAATTTTATTTCGGTTATTTTAGTACATCAATTTAAACATTTAAAATGAGAAATGTTGCCTTGGCAACTAGCTGAAATATAGCTGAAATTTTATTCAAGTTAAAGTTTATTTTATTTCAGGTAATGAAAAGGTTTTCTTTTTATGGTTTTAATTTTAGTTTCAATTTTATTTTTTGTTAACTATAATAACCCTGGATGTAAAATCACTGATTCTGCTGGATTTTTGTAAAAAAAAAATTAAAAAAATAAAAAGAAAAGTATAAATATCAGACAAAAAGTAGGACACAACTGGGAATCCTTATATTGTACTATATCTAATTGTAGTTAAAAAGACAAATTTAAATAGTTTTCCTTAATATTTTATAATATATAAATTGAATTAGTAATAAAAAAATATATAGTAATTTAATTTATAACCTGAACACTTCACCTTAATTTTTACAAAATATAATTGATCTAAATCAAGTATTGAGGTCTGAGGTAGGTGTCTTCAGGAGCAGTGAAATAAAAATAAATAACAAATATACAATTTTATATTTATGTGAGGCACATTCTAGTGACCATCTTTCATTACATTTAAAGACTAAATGTTGCTATTTTAAAAACATATCATAGGTACATTTGTGAGGCACTTTCAGTAAAATAGATGAACTTAACCTCAGACCTTAGCAGTGAGGAAGGCCAAAATAAATGTCTCCATCGCTATGTCCCTTTCCTCATGATCAGGGTCCACCGTGTTTGGCTGCGCAACTTTATCTGGAAAATATAATCAGCATATTAAGCAAACAGGTCTGGTGAAAAAAATAATAAAAATCATATAACTCTACACTTTACCACACCGTTAATGACAGAGACATCAAAATCTGGACGAATGCAGTGACCATCCAAAACAGTCGACTGCAAGACATTTCCTCCCACATTTGAGGATTCCAGAATGCTGGCGACCACTGTGGGATAATATAAATGTCTCCATCGCTATGTCCCTTTCCTCATGATCAGGGTCCACCGTGTTCGGCTGCGCAACTTTATCTGGAAAATATAATCAGCATATTAAGCAAACAGGTCTGGTGAAAAAAAAAAAATAAATCATATAACTCTAGACTTTACCACACCGTTAATGACAGAGACATCAAAATCTGGACGAATGCAGTGACCATCCAAAACAGTCGACTGCAAGACATTTCCTCCCACATTTGAGGATTCCAGAATGCTGGCGACCACTGTGGGATAACATTACATGCTCAATATCACATTCAGCAATGATCCTGTAAGGAACTTTAACTTATCTAATAAAACAAAGCTTACTCGACAACCTAGATCCAACAAATGCTAAAGTGAATATTTAATTTGACACATCTACAGTCCAGCCAAACACTCACCGGCAGAGTCATTGTGTGCCAGACAGCTCATTGTACGTCTCGACGGTACGCCTTCCCTCGGCTTTCGTGGGTTGCTTACTCTGGGAGAGGACGGTCTGGGTGGCATCAGCACTGATTGCTGCTGTACACTGCCCTACAGAACACACCAGCCCTCATATTAATATAAAATGACAGAGAAATTAGACCCAGCAGCACAGATGTTGAAGGATAACATTACTATGAGACATAACATACAGTTTCTTTGCTGTCTGTTACCTTTGAAGGAGCCTTTGTTTCAGTTTGCATGTATCTAGCCTTCACAATCGTGCCCGACGCTAAAAATCAATAAGATCAGATGAACTTGTCAGGATAACATCAATGAGTTATGACACTGAATGAATGGTGGGTGCGCTTACCTTTGGTTTTCCTCCTTGCACCACTGTTATTTCCACTGCTGGCTTCATTTTCAGCTGATAAACTAACAAAAGAGAGGCTGTCTGAATATCTGCATACACATGAAACTGATTCAGAGTAAAGTCATACAGAAAAGGATGAGTTAAATGACAACCAGATGCTGCTTTGTGATGTCTAAATGAGAAACTCATCGAGTTTAATTTGGACTTTGATACAGATAGTTCATGATTTCTTGTTGTTATTAGACCTAATAATTATTTGGCAGCAATAGTGTCATCTTACCACGCCATTTTCTAAATAAATGACTTTCATTTTATTCGTGTTTGATTTTCAAATCAAGTCAGGTTGGTTTATTCACTGCCATTTTCGAACTATGTCGCCTGGATCACGGTGAGAAAATACTTTAACACATGTAAACAAACACATTTTACAAGACCAACATTAGCACTCGTATTTTCACAATCAGGTAATACATAACAACTCATAGAAACCCGAGCCAGGTTGATGTTTACATTATTCAAGCAACAAGTTGACATTATATGATGAACTTAATAAAA